AAATAAACAATTTTCAGTGGTACCACTGAGAAGAGTAATTTTTTTGGTCATGGAAAATTAGGTAACGGTCATGGAGAAGTCATTGAAAATCATTGGTGAAAAAGTGCATGAACCCTGTCTCTTATAATGATGACTTTGCATGCCAGAATAATATTCAAAAGCATTTACAAATAATGACTCTGTATCTCAAAATTATGAGTTATTATCTCGTAAGAATGACTTGGTATTGTATAAAAATAAAAAATATCTAAAAGGTCAAATAAATAAGGAAACTTCATGTTTTTTTTTTAGTAACTAAATCAATATTTTTCAGAGTTTCTCATAATGACTTATAAGATACATTTTTAATACAAGAATAAATCCTTTTTTTTCTTGGCGGAAATGGGCTTCTATACCTCACTGCTTTTATCTCACCTACAAATCACCTGCTGGTTTCTAGCTGGCTGCCTCCAGATAACTGAGAGTTATCAGTTAGTTTGCTCCTGCAGAAGGTCCTATACATCCTGCTTGATGGTTGGAGATAACCGCTCCGGCTAACCGCTCCGGGCTTCACTCATTTCCAGCTCATGAAATTATTAAATTAGCATCAATTAAAATGGTTGCTCTGAGCCCTGCAGCTGTGAATCTGTTATCCTGAGAAACTTCAGTAAACTGAGTGGTGTTGTGTTCCAGAGTCAGACTACTGCTCACAGTTTAGTGTCGGCTGCAGACAGAGCGGAAACATTGGAACCTCACTTTGTGCCTGTTTGTGAAAATGCCTTTTAAGAAAAGAAGCGTGTCGTCCTGCTTTGGATTTCCTCTTCTCCCCTCCACGACGGCATATTGGGGCCAATTTAGGTAACACAAAATACAAATGAATAAAGAGAGCGGGGGATTTCTAAAAACCCTAGATATTCTCTGATATTAAGTGGTACATTTATGGAATTTTCATTTAGTAAAATGTCTTTAATCTCAGAGAATATCAATGTCACGTTATTTACAAATATAATAATAATGCATTACATTTTTGTTAGAGCGCTTTTCCCGGGGCTCAAAGCGCTTTACAATTACCCATATTAGACATGTACAGTAACAGTCATTACTGTGGACAATACCCACAGGAGCAAATTATGGTGAAGTGTCTTGCCCAAGGACACAACGGCCTGACGCAGTGGAGGCCAAGTCGCTCTAGCCCACTGTGCCAAAACCGCCCCCAAAATAAGAAGAAATATGATTTTGGTACATACATATTTTCTCCCCCTCTCAGGTTAAGTTTTTATTTTAATTTTACCTATGATGGCCCTAATAGGCAGCTGTGAATAGGTTGTAGGGGGGAGAGGTGAGGATAGTGAATGCAAGCCTGAGCTGGATCCATCTGCCTGCTGTCTTTGAGACGGAGCTTTCTGATTGGCCATCTTGGCTGTTAGCCCCGATGTTGGTTTGTGACTTGTGGTGTTTCTGAGGAGTTTCATACAAGGCCTGCACGACCTGCCTCGTTTCATTTGCAATAGCCACATTTGAGGACGTGCGATGTCAGCAAATAAAGCCAACCTTTACAGCACCTTAAAGGTCAATTACAGTGCACAGGGGTTTAACCTGGGTCCAAGACTCTATTTTCCCCAACACAAACACAAAAAACACTTTTTCTACTTCCTCTCTCCTTCTTTTCTTCTCTCCTTCATAACACATCCTCCGCTAATAATCCCATAATCAGTTTGAAGTTAAGAAATAACCAATTAAATACCCATAACCCCCCCAACATGTTCATGTTCATCGCCGCTGTCATGAACACATTGCTGCTCTGTGTTTGGAACTTCTTTTACTTTGTTACAAAGAGAGGCATTGCATCCCTTCTGCAGTCTTTCTTTGTTTCGAAGGAATGGTGGTCCACATCCTGTTAATTGTGTTAAGATGTTTATACATTTCAAAGTTAGTTCTGCATTTTTTGTAAAGCCTGTTTGTAGTAAAAAGTATAAAACTGTGAAATACACACACTACACCTGCTTAAGATGAGTTAGTGACGTCATAACCTCCTCTTTTGCTGAAGCTGTGTGTTTTGTTTGGGATGCACTTACAAGACCAGACTTGGCCAGAGTTGTAGGGAAGTTCACCTCCTTGAATACTTGTTCTCCTGTTTTGTAAGTCAAACATGCTAAGGTTATAGCCATGTTGGTGTTAGTGGCTTATTGAACAGGATTGAAAATACTTTTTTACAGGCAATGGACACCAAAAACAGGGACAAACCATTACCTTTCAATTTGACAATGATATGTGTTATTCATAGCACAGTTCAAAAGGATCAAATAAATGATTTGCCTCTTGCCATTAACTACCATATCAAATGTTAAAGTTTATAAAAACTCTGTTGCATCATAAGAATAACTTTCTTATTTTTTGTTCTTACCCCCAGGAGTTTCAAAACCTATCCACACACCAATGTTCATTGTGTCAAAGGAATTAGTAGACATATTCAAGGGGTTGAATATGATACTGATGCTGCTTATTTTTTAACTCAAGTTGAACCGCCTTTGAGCTGACATATTATTGTAGACCTGTTTATCTATCGATACTGCTTTTGTTCTTAATAATATGTACAACAGAGTTTAATCAAACTACACAGTTTACTATTTTTCTTCTCAAAAAATCTCATTTTCGGACTCAAAACAATAACATGTTTGTCCCTCTCTCAACATTTCCTGCCTGCGGCTCTTACAGTAGCTCCATGCCAAATGGTTCAAGAAAAATATCTTTACACAATCTTTCAGTTTCTTTTATAAGTGTGATTGATTTCCTAAAACAGCTGGGCACTGTTTTGTCTATGGGAAAAAAGAAAGAGGGAATAGTTAATATCTTGGGGAATATTTGAGTCTGAACATAAAGCAGGCTAATCCTGAGCTCCTTCAGGTCTGGTCTGATGTTTGATTAGCTTTAATGAATGATACTAACTATGTCTCTCCTTACTTTTTCATTCATTTGCATTGATCCCCACCATCCTCACCCTTCTGGTTGTCAAACTGCCTCCATCACTACTCTCCACTCTGCCTTCTTCTTTCCTCTCCTGTCTGCATGTTTGGGATAATGTCTCATTCTCCATATTGTGTTTTATAATGCACATTTCTTCATTACTTACTCATAAATTGCATGTTTCCATTTGTCCACGGCCTTGTTTGTGTGTCTGTCCATCTCTTTGGTGTCCCTCCCTTCTGCCCTGTCCTGCAACCTTTTCTCACCTCCTTCCCTCTTTTTGTATCTTCCCTCCCTCTACTCCCCTTCCGTCCTTTTGGTGCATCATGGGACATATAGGTTTCTACGGTCTGGATGAGTCCGACCTGGAAAAGGTGTTCCGACTGCCAACCACCACCTTCATCGGAGGCTCGGAGACCGCCCTGCCGCTGAAGGAGATCATCCGTCGACTGGAGGTGAACTCAGACGCAGCTCCCTGTAAAGCAGGGCTGTCAAACTGCTTTTAGTTCAGGGCCACATGCAGCCCAATTGAATCTCAAGTGGGCCGGAGCAGTAGAATCACAGCATAATAACCTGTAAATAACAACTCCAAATTGTCCCCTTTTTTTTAGTGCAAAAAAAAAAATTATTTCTAAAAATGTTGACATTTACTATGAACTATGAACAACCTGACATTTTTTCAAGAAAAAATATTATGCCTTAGTTTATCATTTCCACATGTGCATTACAAGGCACATTTAATCACAAGTATCAGGAATTGAACAATATAGTATTTTATGATCAGAACAACTTGTCACGAAGAAATTATTTTACATTCATTTCCACATGTGTGTAGTAATCCTGAAAACCACCATACAAACTACAGTGGGAACTATTAAGGGAGAAGGTTAAGTCACCCCATGTCTTATAAATGTATTATATGTATACAATACATAAAAGTTTATAAAATTGCATTGAATGTCTCCTCTGTCATTTTAATGCTGTGCAAAGTCATCCCGCAGGCCGTATGTTTGACATCCCTGATCCAGACCAAAGATATTCCAACGTGAGTGTGAAAGTTGGCTGTACAGGTGAAACTCCTCTCCTCTCTCTGTCAGATGGCGTACTGTCAGCACATTGGGGTGGAGTTCATGTTCATCAACGACCTGGAGCAATGTCAGTGGATCAGACAGAAGTTTGAGGTTCCGGGAGTGATGCGGTTCGATCTGGAGGAGAAGAGGACGCTGCTGGCCCGCATGGTCCGCTCCACCAGGTAATCATCGCAACACGCCTATATATGAAGTTGAAGTTTAGCCTCAGTTGCAGCACCGTGGCTTGCTGGTGTGGCAGCCCAGGTCGATGAGGGGAGGGGTACATGTTGTCAGATTGAGGAAAAAATTCACCAGGAGAGTTTTCTTGACTCTCATAATGAATTCGGGTGGTTGGAGCTTAAAATAAATGAATTCGAAAATGTACATGTCACTAAGGACCACCCTGTGTATATATGTATATATATATATATGCTGTTCTGTTATTTGTGGAATAACTAAATCGGTGTTGGAATTTAGCTTTTTTTCCCTCTCCTCCTCTCTCACACACATGTGTAGATCAAGCAAAACACAGAATACTACCAGCAAATATACAAAATCAACTTGTTTTAAACTCAGGGGATGAGCAGCAAACAAGGGAATGTAACTTTAAGCATCAGTTTTCACTTTAAAGCAGTGTATCTCTGTAGTTGGTGTTAAACGGTGGAATTCTTTACCAACTGACTTTAAGGGCTGTATGAACATCTTTAGGTTTAAGAAAATGTCTAAAGAAAGAATAATAAGACGGCATAAAGATGTCAGCATTTTCAGGTAACCTGTTTCGCTGATTTTTCATTGTGATCTTGATTTCATGTCACTGTAAGTATCAGTGTAAGCAGCTGTAATTGACAGACCATTGATTTTCGAGGGGCAGTTAAAATAAGACTTTCTTCTCCCTGCTCCTTTCCATCATGGGCTACAAAAAAAACTCCTTAAAGTGTACATATTTTGTTTTATAATTATTGCCATGAGTGGAATAAACCAATAATACAAAACATGTGTAAGACGTCAGGCGTTTGTTATATATCTGGAGGGAAGCAGTAAACGACGAAAGAGCACAGAGTGAAGGGGTCGGAACCAAAATGTCCAAGAAAAGAAAAGTTAATGAGAGGAGGGGCAAGCAAATGCCTGCATGTGCCAAATGGAGGCCAGTCGGTAAGTCTTCTTTGCCACAAGGCAGTGGCATTACCCCAGGATTATGATGTACAGCCACACTTTATCCAAACACCACGGCGCATTGCGAGATTAACATGAATTGATGTCAAAAACTCGTGCTATGGTCATTTTAGCTTTCAGATTATGAAACTCTAGCACCATATTCAGATGATACATATATTTCTGAAGCTTGTTAAGGCAGGATGAACTTTTCAGAATCACCTCCCACTCTTCTATATTCAGATGAGTTTACTGGAGTAGTGACGCTGTCAGGATCATATAACTTGGCCCTTTATAACCCATATTACTGAGCCCTTCCATCAACAGTCATGTCATCTAGTGTTTGATGAGGATGGAGTGTATCTGTTCAGGTCTCTGAGAGGAGTCTGCAGGGTTAAAGGGATGAAAAATGTTCTGTACTAACCTACGATTGACTGTGAGATGTAGTTTCTGAAAAGTTTGTTTGTGCAGGTTTGAGGAGTTCCTGCAGAAGAAATGGTCTGCAGAGAAACGTTTTGGTCTGGAGGGCTGCGAGTCTCTGATCCCGGCTCTGAAAACCATCATCGATATATCCTCTGAGAGCGGGGTGGAGAATGTCGTCATGGGAATGCCTCACAGGTATCACACACTCATTCATGTATCAATACTGTACACACACACAAATGAGTAGGACATCTCTAAGATTTAAACGGTACTACTCCCCTTATCGATACTGCTTATCGATCCGGCACTTTAACAGTATTTTTATCGGTTCTTTTGTTGTTTTATAAGGGAGAACTAATCAAATTGGAAATAGAATTAACATTACTTTATGTAAAATAAATAACATGTATGTTTGTAACAAATCATAATAGACTAATATGACGATGGAAATGCAAAAACAATCAAATGAAGAATTATTTAGTGCAAAAGCAAAAATTGGTTACCGTTTTTGTCTTTTAAATGAACCCATGTTTGTGTTGGGTGCCAGCATACAGAACATACCTGCAGTGGTAACGTTACTCGTAATTGGGGCAACAGATCTACGACTACGATTTTGGCGAGTTGAATTTCTCCGTCTGAATATGATGCGTTTTGGGCAGATGTTTGGCCAGATTTCCTGGTTTTTGCGCACTTATGGCAAACGAGCATAGTCTACATCAATCCTTGTAGAGTGTAACTATACGTTTGAAGGCTCCATTTTATCACCCATCGTGAGAGAGAGAGAGAGAGAGAGAGAACAAGATCTCATGGATTGAAGAGTCCGGAAAATAATCTGACTAATTTTGTAAGGATATTGCAAATTACAAAGCAGAGTTGTTTAGTTAAAATGTGCAAGATAATGTTAATGTAGCAATAATAAATATGAAATATATTTTATATACATGACTTTTTTGCCCTGGTTCTCAAAGGAGCACCTTTTTAATACGGGGTTTCCACTCATGTTGGTACACTCACCTCTTTCGTCTTTCAGGGGCCGTCTGAATGTCTTGGCCAACGTGATCCGTAAGGAGCTGGAACAGATCTTCTGTCAATTTGACTCAAAACTGGAAGCTGCTGATGAGGTAATGTCTCTGCTTTAGTGCCATTACTGCTGTTTTTACTGCTGTGTGTTGCCTAAACAAAGTATAACATTTTCAAAAAAGAATATCTTCACATTTAATTCTGTATACTACTTATATTTTTCTTTCACTTTATTTTGTCTTGCATACATTTAGAGCCGCACATCTTGGCTATATCGTGACATTTTGAAGTGACCTTTGCTGTGGTTTCTCCTCCTCAGGGCTCTGGAGATGTGAAGTACCATCTGGGAATGTACCATCGACGAATCAACCGTGTGACGGACAGGAACATCACCTTGTCTCTGATGGCCAACCCGTCTCATCTAGAGGCAGTGGATCCCGTGGTGCAGGGAAAGGTCAAAGCTGAGCAGTTCTACTGCGGAGACAACGACGGCAAGCGGGTGAGGCTGAGAAACAGTAAAACCAAACTACATTTAAAAGAGACATTGCTTCTAAACTAGCTTTGAGGATTCACCTTATGTTTCCTCTGCTTTAGGGCGTTTCTACAAGGATCTGTTATCCTTTAAGTTACATTACTTAGGGTAAAATTTGTTATAAGTTATATTTCACTAGGATTACACATTATTAGCTTTAATACAATCATTTCTATCCCAGTTACTTCTGGTGAGAGCGTAAGGGCTATCACTTTGGATAGTCTTGCCAGCTTTATCAACCTTTTCTTGCCCAAGCCTGTGCCTAACATTCGCTAGCTTGCTTGTTAGATGGGTAGCTAAGGTACGCTAGCTAACTAGTAAGGTAGATGGCGAATGTTAGCTAGCTTGTAAAGTAGGTTAAATACTGACTTGTAAAAGTGCTTTGAGGGTTTTTTAAGACTGTAAAAGCACTATATAAATGCATTCCATTTAGCATTTATGCTACTAGATGCTTTGTTGAATTTTGACCAAACTGTAACAGTGACTCGTTACAGACATTATGATATGATAGTTATTATTTGTTTGTTTATGTTTGTTGTGTTTTATGTGGGTACTGTCCAAATGCTTGTGTGTGGACCAGAAAGAATGGTCAACGCTAATGCTAATAACAATTATAATAGAAATAAAGATAAACCGAAAGCAATGCACTGGAAAAAACCACAGATTAATTGAATTTGTTCTTCTCCAGGTGATGTCCATCCTGCTCCACGGAGACGCAGCTTTTGCCGGTCAGGGTGTCGTCTACGAAACCTTCCACTTGTCTCACCTGCCGTCCTACACCACGCACGGCACCGTGCACGTTGTCGTCAACAACCAGGTAACATACCTGAACAGATGTACTCAAGCAATTCTCTTTCTGAAGTTCATCACTTCTTCTCTGCACTGTTTTTTACCAGAGGTAGAAAAATTACTCAGGTCTTGTACTTTAGTAAAAGTAGAGTACCAGAGTGTAGGAATACTCTGTTACAATGCAGGACAAGTCAAAGTCCTGCATTTACTCGAGTAAAAGTAAAAAAGTATTAGCACCAAAATATACTTGAAGTACAAAAAATTAAAGTACTCATTATTCTGAAAGACATGTAATATAATGTATATGTTTTGATTATAATTATTAATGTATTAATGTGTTATCAAAGCTCTTTTTTCCTTTGTATACTGCAGGGTAGCTGTAAATGTACTCCAGGTGTAGCAATACATTTAAATTCTCTCAAAATTGTACTTAAAGGTGGGGTAGGTAAGTTTGAGAAACCGGCTCGAGATATACTTTTTGTTATATTCCATGGAATTCTCTTAACATCACGATAGCAATGAATATCTTGTGTGCTTTAACAAAAAATCCATTAAAAAATGTCATCTGTGGAAGCCGTAGTACTGTAAAAAGCACGAACAATCATCTGAGCCGGCCCGGTTAAAATAACTGGATGGCCTACCTGCCTGTCAGCCTTCCATCTGTGCACAAACTTATCTCGTGCCCTCATTGGTCATGTAGGCATTTGTGTGTGTTGGAGGAGGGGCTCTGTAAGGAAGAGGCAGATTTTTTCCGGCTGTGTATTTTCAAATTCTAGCGCACTCGAGCTGGTTTCTCCAAAATTACCTACCCCACCTTTAAGTACAGGTCTTGAGTAATTCTACTTAGCTACTTTTCACCTCTGGTTTTTACCTCGAACTGAACAGATACAAGAAAGAAAAAAAGTTTGTTTCGCTACTGGTAATCCGCAACATATAATTGAGAAGTCAAACCTGAGAGGATGTTTACAGAAAACACATTTGATTTCTTATATAATTAACAATCAATCAAACTATGCAAGTTCGGAGGACTCTAGGAAGCAAACAGGCAGATGGATGACTGAGCTCTAACCCTGTGTCTCCAGATCGGCTTCACTACAGACCCTCGTGTGGCTCGCTCCTCTCCGTATCCAACCGACGTGGCTCGAGTTGTCAACGCTCCCATCTTCCACGTCAACGCCGACGACCCGGAGGCCGTCATCTACGTCTGTAAGGTGGCCGCCGAGTGGAGGGCCACGTTCCACAAAGACGTGGTGGTCGATCTGGTCAGTGTCATCGTTTTTAGGTAAAAACTCCAAATTGTTGTGAGATTGTGAGAGACTTACAAGTGTGTGTGCAGGTTTGTTACCGTCGGATGGGTCACAACGAGATGGACGAGCCGATGTTCACACAGCCGCTGATGTACAAACAGATCAAGAAGCAGAAGCCGGTTCTGCAGAAGTATGCAGAGAAACTGATCGCAGAGGGAGTCGTCAGCCGGCAGGAGTACGAGGTAACAAGACACTTCCTCTTCCTCAAGTTTTTCCGTGTCCACATAGCTCTATTTTCTGGCAGAAAGTTATTCTCCAATTTCAACAGTGACCGACGCTTTTGTGAAATCTTGAAATATTCTCAAACCAAAACGTTCAAAGAAATTGCATTGAAATCAGAAACAGAAGACACTGGGAAATAAGAAAGAGCAGCAACACATTACTTCATGACCAAGTTATTGTTACTGTTAGAAAATAGCACAGCAGAGTTTTCGGCTGACGAAGGAACCGTAACGCGGCGCAGATGGACCCGGTGGAATCTAGGGGTTAGTAACTTGTTGACGTGAAATGTGTTGCTCTCTTTACATCTCCACTAGCTGGGTCGTTACTCAACACATTTTTGATTATTTTTGTTAGCATCATTAAACATAGACATTTCCGTCCCTTGCCCTGTTGCTACTGCTGTGTGTGTGTGGATGTCTGGCAACTGATTTTGGCACTAAACACACTCCTTTCTTCTTTCACTCTGTCTCTGTTTGCAGGAGGAGATTGCCAAATATGACAAGATCTGTGAGGAGGCATACAATCGCTCCAAAGATGAGAAGATCCTCCACATCAAGCACTGGCTGGACTCCCCCTGGCCTGGTAAGGGGGAGAGGGGATGGGGGAGACCATGCATTTGTGTCTATCTGTAACATTTTCTTGTCCTTAATTTTTACGGGGTTGTAAAATCATAATCTGTTATTACCTCATTTTTAACAAAGTGTCATAGTAATATATAGAACAAGCTTATCAGAGCAGCGATGAAAAGGCACTGTGCGGTCACTTTTAAGCAGATGAAGAAAGAATGTTCTGCAGTAACAACAGAAGCCAGTAAAGGGCTGTACACAAAATATACTTATTTAAATTACTTAAATTACTAGATTTCAAAAAGCCTTCCAATGTGTTTCATGACTTAATCATACACATTGCAGATTTATTTTTAATTATAACTAAATTATTTGTATTCTATTCTCATTTCATTAGATATAAACATGTTGTGAAGTAACACATATATTTTTTGCATTCAAATGTTGATTTAGAATCCTTTTTCCAACCTTCTAAATGAAGCCCTGGGGCCTCATTTATAAAGCGGTATACGCTCAAAAAATGACGTACGCCAGTTTCTACGCAATTTTTGCGATTTATAAAATACTAACTTGACGGGAAAATGTGCGTCCTACACGCAAACTCTAACCCATGGTACGCACTCCACATAAACACCGGGCAGAGACTGAAAACTCACACCGTTTGGCAGAAGGAAGAAGGAGAGAAATATGTGGAAATAATACATAATAAATCGTTATTTTTATCATATATGAAGAATTCATTTTCAACATTGATTAAAGCCCAATCTTTAAAATGATTTTTAAAAACGCCTGTTGGAGACTCCTCAGTGCAACACAAAAACATAAGATTGGAGAATAAATAAATACACAAATGTATTTAAAATCACCTCGAATATGTTGTGTTAATGTTATGAAATTTTTCTCATCATTATGCGGGTAAACCAGAAGGGACATATTACGTCTAAACTGACGCCGTTTTGCATTTCTATAGGTTGTAATTAGATCAAGGCATGGTTTATATATACTATCATGTTTAATCGTGTTTTTATGCCGGTTCGCCGCGCTAACTTGATAAGTCGCTCGTAAAACCCAGGGAGGTATGAAACTAGAACACCATATGGAGAAAACATTGTACAGCTGTATAACAACAACACCTTTACGTTGTTTTCCTTTTAACTGGTGGATATAGAGTTTGCGGGGGCGGGTTGAGATGCACAGGCTGACGTGGAGACGGCTGCGCACAGCGGACTCCGCCTGTGAACACAACCACCAAAACAAGAGAACATAATTCAGATCCATTCGTCATGACTCCACTCCGGCAGACGCATTCCGCCGCTCATTTCTTTCACAGTTTCCAGAGGGTGGTGTCTCCTGTTTCCCCGTGTGTACAAACACACTGCCTGAGGAAGGTATGTGTATTTTTTCTTTGGACTATTTATAGGCAAATTTATGGTGCGTTACGTGTATATAGCCCTGCAAAAGCTTGTCACTGTCATTTTGCAGTCTGATTTGTATGTGCTCCTCCCGGCAAGGGAGTAATATACGTGGTTGTGTGTGTTGTGTGTGTGCAAGTTGATGTACTGCACTTGCTCGCTGGTACGCAATTGTTTGTGAATCTGGGAAAGTGTCGGGAACAGTTTCTGTACCTATTTTTGGGATTTCTACTACGTAAGACAACCTTCCCACATGAATCCTTACGACGGCG